AGAGAATATAGAAACAAAATAACATATAACAAATTCAATTAGTAACAAAATAGTAGTAATATATATATACAGTAACTAAAACAATCAAATTACATGCAATATAATATTTGTTGAAACACAATATGAAGTGAGTTTAACACAACTAATCTGACTTTAAAACAAACTATGTAGTGAGTTTAACACAACTAAGCTGATTTTAAAACACAAGATGAAGTGAGTTTCACAAAACTAACCTGACTTTAGCAACCTTCTGTCAAAAGACATGAAGCAGGCTGTCGGGAGTAATAAATAAAGTTAAAACTTAAAAATTAAATCTAACATGTATAAGGAATGATAAGATTCTTGAACGTTCACAGTAATAATAATACTTAAACAAAGAAATAATAACAACGGTAAATATGTAACTAAATTAATGTTGTAATGTCATACTATTTAAGTTAGCGTTATACAGCTTACATTGGTGTAGTAAGAGCTCACACTAACGAGAGATTAAACTAATGGTGGTCGTCGTACTAAAACGTTCCATTATTGCCTTAAAACATAGTTAAGAAATTAAGGAGTATTTATTTGTTTGTTTTTTGTTAAGCACAAAGCTGCGTAATGGGAAATCTGTGCTCTGCTCACTAGGGGTATCAAAATCCGATATTTAGAGTTATAAGCCCTCAGACTTACCGCTGAGACACCATAGAGCATCTAAGAGTAATTATGACAGTTTTAGAAAAGTCGTGATATTGTGTGAAACTGTTAATCACGTAATTAGTAGCAAGATTATTGTCGTGATATTATGTAAAACTGTTAATCTCGTAATTAGTAGCAAGTGTATTGTCGTGATATTATGTAAAACTGTTAGTCTCGTAATTAGTAGCAAGAATATTGTCGTGATATTATGTAAAACGGTTAGTCTCGTAATTAGTAGCAAGAATATTGTCGTGATATTGTGTAATAATCCCATAATTAGTAGCAAGAATGTTGTCGTGATATTGTGTAATAATCCCATAATTAGAAGCAAGAATGTCGTCGTGATATTATGTAAAACTGTTAATCTCGTAATTAGTAGCAAGAGTATTGTCGTGATATTGTGTAATAATCCCATAATTAGTAACAAGAATGTTGTCGTGATATTATGTAATAATCCCATAATTAGTAGAAAGAATGTTGTCGTGATATTGTGTAAAACTGTTAATCCCATAATTAGTAGCAAGAACGTTGTCGTGATATTGTGTAAAACTGTTAATCCCATAATTAGTAGCAAAAGTATTGTCGTGAAACTATTAATCCCATAATTAGTAGTAAGAATATTGTTTAATTCCCACAAAAATGAATAAATCTGATATTGAGAATGCGGTAAAAGAAACCACGTTTACGAAAACAGTTTGTGAGTTTATGACCTCTATCCACGACATCTTGTAATGTTTGATATGTTCTATTTTTCATCTAACTAGCTCTAAGTGGCAAACATTACAACATACATTATTTTGAATATTTGTATTCGGAAATTGAAATTACATGGTCTCAAAGTTAAAATTATCCGTTTTACAAACAATTTTGAGCCAACGCGCTGTGAATACTTATTTTAATTAGTAGCTGGAACAAAGATTTTGTATTGTTATTGTTATAAGGCTGTTATAAATATTATATATATAATTCATTCCGTAAATTTTCTAATGATTTTCTTTTCATTTTTCTTATTTTAGTTTTATATCTGCAATATTTGTTTACACGACTAATTAGAAAATGTTTTGTTTTCCTCACTTTTGTTCTTTTTTACTAAATTTCAGGTTATTACTTATTTAAACAGCAGTTTTTAATCATGGAACTTTTCCTATCTATCTTTCTGTCCAATGTAACAAAAAAAATCTAAGTTTGGGAATATGGGTGCTTAAAGCAGTTGATAGTGAGAAATTAACAAAAGGGCTTCTTCTCTATTATATGCTAATTTTTCAAAACTTGCTTCAGGTTATGAAAAAAAAAAGTTTTGTTTCAGAAATCAGTTCCATATCAGAAGCATTTTACAGTCAGGTGTAGAAGTCATCTGTCATTTACCTTATCGAACTGGAAATACAAAATTACCTAATTTACATCATTTCTATACTTATCAAATGCATTTTTTATAACAATAAGACGCAAAAAGTTTTGTTGTTAATACAATAAGTTAACATTTATACAAGTAACTTGTATTCTATGCTTTCTTTAAGGTTAGTTTCCTTAACTATAATGACTGGAATCTTTAATATATAAAATATCTTTATCTGTTATATTTTATATTTACGTATTATTGCCCCCCCCCCAGCGGAACAGTGTTATGGCTTACAACGCTAGAAACCGGGTTTCGATACCCGTGGTGGGCAGAGCACTGATAACCCATTGTGTAGCTTTGTACTTAACTACAAACATATAAACAAATTACCTTATACCAATTTTTGACTTATTATATTCTACACGTTGAATCATATCTCACGAAACTTCTGATAGTTAGTCTAATTTTTCTGAAAAAAAATAAAATCTGAAAATAAGCATTTGAACTCTGAACTTGCATTCTGACATTAACTGTATACTTTTGCCCCTTGTTCTATCTCTAATGTGTGAACAATCACCTAATTACATGACGTTGTTTTTCTTAGGTTGTTCGTCTTTATGAGAAGATATACGATAGCTTATGAGCCGTTTTAAGTGTTGCAAGGCCATTTTTTATCTTCTCTTGAATTTCACTATCAATGTTAGAGCTGTAAATAAATCTATAATATTTTTCTTCATTTCACTGAAAACTTTTCAGTATGGATACGTTTATCTGTGCAATCCGTAAACTATATTTAAAGATAATAACCGTAATTTTCCTCATGGTATTAATCACTAAAGTCCATTAATTCATCAACATGCTCAAGGCAAAGATAATTAGCAGCTGTCACTTGCGTTACCACACTTTGAAAACAACACTCTCATAATATGGATAAAGTTAACAAAGGAGAAAGTCTGATCTTAAAGCGTGCTTAATTATAAAATTGCATTATGTATTTAACTAATCTTCTGTCTTGCCCACATTTTCTGTCTTACTTTATAATTGTACAACGAATTATTTCTGTTTATTCTCAGAGTTTCGTAACGTTGTCTGTGCATGTATATTATATACCAAAATTAACCCAAATACTGGTCCAGAGCATTGTCTGTGTTTATAATATAAAAATGTTACATTTAAGGCAACTTTACTAAGCTATTTTATTATTTATATACCAGAACAATTACTTGGCAAATGGTGAGTTTCGGCCTTCGAAACGTAGAAGAAAGGCGAAGTAACTGCTACTAATAAATTAATTATGTGTGAGTCTAACAGGTGATATTTTAAAACATTTTAAAGTTTTTCATCTCAACAAAATAATATATTGTTATCACTTTTCTATGAATAAAAATACTTGCATTATCATTAATTTCTTATATTCGTTATATCATATACTCCATGTATTTCAGTTTATTTTATTAACATTATTAAGCTATCTTAACTTGTCCGTTAAAAATATTTACAAGTTCACTACTATCACTGGAAGAAACACCAAACTACTTAAGCTAATCTTTGAGAGTGACATCAACATCACGGTAACCAGAGCTACCAAAGTTAGCGAGGTATTGACAGTTGCAGCAAGAAATAAACCTGAAGAACGTCACCTGCTTATACTATTCCAAAGTCTTATCTTTTCATCCTGAATTATACACTATCGATCATCATTATAAAGGCTACGCAGCTAGACAAGATTGAGAAGATACAAAATAGTTGCTTAAGACAGGTGACGGGATGTACTTCAACCACCACATCAAACCTGTATAACACCTAAAGAGTCTCAGCACCATCGCAGAGTATCAACAGCAAAACTATTAATAGTCCTTGAAGTTTAGTTACTATCATCGAGTCACTGCCCATTGCAATTAAGACATCCCAGCTCCAAAACAGACACCATCCAAGCAGGACACTGACTAAAAGGCGACTCAGGACACAGTCAGTCGTGGGTGGAGCAGTGTTATACAACCATCACTGAGATACATTACCACCAGATCTCAGATTCCCTCAATGTAGAATAAATCTAGCGCCAATGGAATCTCCGGAAATTAGCCGAAAAGAAAAATTCAGATATTGGTCAAAGGGTGAAGCAAAAAAAGCCTGTATGCACTTTTTAAAGATCGTGGTGGTCAGTCATCTGCCATCATAGCCACGGTTGGTCTCCACAGCAGAGACAAAGAGAGTGCTGGTTGGATATTCATAGTCTTGCGGAGCAGAAACATTCTGAATAAGGTCGGTAAAGCATTCAAATTTCCTGCTAGCGGTACAAGGATGGAGCTTAAAGCCATAAAGCAAGCTTTCTTCTGCAATTGTGAAAGCAACCAACTAAAACTAGGTATTATCATCAACGCAATATTAACGAGTGACTGATGGCAGTACTGAATTAAATTCAGGGTGGTTGGTCACCAGATGGATGGCTGAAAGCAAAACGTCTAGATGTCAAGAACATCTTATCTAGATGTATGTGCCACACTATACAAGGAGTAAAACACTAGTAAGGCGAAAAACATCAACTGTGAAAAGCCTTCATCAACATTCTGAGGTAAAGAGACTGCTGGAAGACAAAGTTCCATATGGTGTAGCTGTAAAAATCCAAAGATGGGTAATCAATAGTACAGTATTCAACCAGAAGGCTACTGGTAACAAAGGTAAAAAAAAAAACCTTTTCTACCTCCCGCGAGACAACTGGCCGTCATATGGGAAGATCAGCATCTATCGACGCAACCCCTAGGATTGTCATTAATACACAATTCAGGTCAACATATTCATAATGAAAGTATGCATAACGAAACAGCTACGTTCGCTAGGAAAACTAGAATAGTTTAATCCATTGCCTTTTTCATACAGTATCTCTTAAATATCAATATATTTTGAACATATTTATTTTACATTACTAAACCAGTACAGTATGCTACTTATTACATAGTTCAGTAAATCTCTACTTTTTCTACAGCGCCTCCGAAAGAATTTGGTTTCAAACTAAGCTATGAGGAGAAGGATGAACTCCGCCTTCAGTGTGAAGCTGAAGGAGTTTTTCCAGATCCACAACTGAAGTTATACAAGACTACTTCCACGGAGAAGCTACAGGACTTGACAATTGATGTGGTCCAAACCCTTTCTCGGGATCCTTATAATGGTTATAATGTGAAAATTATGAAATCATTGAAAATTACTCATTTGTCTCGAAATGAGCCGACAGTATTTGAATGTGTAATTACCATCAACGGAACCAAGTTCGTGATGGAGAGAAGGTTGTTTCACTACCCTGGTAAGATTACTTCATTTATAAAAACTACGATTTCTGTGCATGCGTCCACTATATTGCATTTTAATCCATTTTTCCAAAGCATTATTGTAAATCAGCCAAGCACCATATAAATAAAACTGGTAAAAGAGCATTGATGTTGTAATACATTAACATTGATTGATAACTGGCCATATGTTGTTACCTTTTGTCCAATGCGTTAATTCAGTAAGTTTCATCAATTTACACGATTTCATTGTTAATTGGATGATTATAGAGTTCAATGTTTAATATTTTTCATTGGTCTTTCAGCACTTGTATTATTATAACTAGCTATCTTGAACTGTGCCGTCAAAGTCTGTAATCATAACACTAGATTTGTAGTTTTATCCAGCCGTTTGGTTTCAGTGTATAAATGGTATATAGAATTTGAAAAGATTTATTTTTAAAACAACAAACGCACAATTCAGCAGAATACTTGAAAACATCCTGTACAACATCAATAGTCTAAAATTTTATCAGTGAAGCTTGAAATACATTTTACTTTGCGTAGACGTTTTCTTTTAAAAATGGCGAAGTATAGTGGCTAGCTTAGACGGAGGATCCTAGGTCTTATTGTTCGTTGTCAATTGCTGCAAATACGCTCCCCCCAGACCTTTGGGGTCGTGGGCACGCTACAAAAGTGACAGTCAAATCCCACTAATCGGTTAGATAATAGCTGGCTCTAGAGTTATCAGTGGGCGCTTTTCACTAGCTGCCTTCCCTCTTCTCTGTCAGTTTAAAACTAAAGACAGCTATACACAGATAGCCCATTGTATAGCTTTGATCTTAACAGCAAACAAACGAACCTTCGGAAATCAATGGATAATAAAAGACATTCCTCGATCTTAACATGTTTTATTTTCCTTTTTTTCAGTTACGATCTTAATTTCAACTAGTTTAAGGTCGGCTGATATTTTTATAAGCCAAGAATTTTTACATCCGGCTGGCTTGCCCAATCAGCATCTATAAAGAATAAGCACGTTCAGTGACTGGGATTCGAGCTCACGACCCCCAAATTTCGAGTTGAGTACTTGATTACCAGACCCGATCTTAATGTACAAGGCTAAAACTTTCTTTAGTCATAAAATAATTGTCTATTTGTTCTACACAACAATATTGATAAGAATATTGTTCAGCAGTACAACACCGGAAACTTGTGTATTACACCAACTGTTTTTCTAACTCTAATTGTCTTTAACAATTATATACCACAAAACTAATAAAAATATAGCAACAAATACATGTACAAATAAAAGTAGCTGTACTCGCTAAGCTACGTTTTGAATTGTACTTTTTTGAAGAGATGGTGATTTATTATTTATCCAAAACAGAAAGTTTAAGATTTAGTTACAAACTTGTTCATGAGGAATTGAAACTTGAGAACTTCAGGATTTAATATTGTAGTTACGATCATGTTTATGTGTGTTCATTTAACTAGTCACATTCACAGATAATAACTACATACATTATTCTACCTAAATAATATACACATGACAGCAATGTAACTTTTTACTTCAAACTCTTGTGTCTTGTTATGTATACAATACAAACTGGCCACATGAAAAATATGTGTATTACTATTTGGAAATATTATTACAAAATTTTTGGTTGTTTGTTTTAGAGTAAAACTACATGGGACTATCCTCTGTGTCCTCCATGGGGAATCAAACTTCAGTTTTTAGTGTTTTAAGTCTGTAAACTTACCGCTGTCCCATTAGGAGACTATAACTTAAAGGCAATCATTTACTAATTCAATTTTTAGTTGTTGTTTTTTTTATGTGTGTGTGTTGTATTTGTGCTTGCCAATAAAATAGGCTAAGTTACAAAGTCCAGTTTTCATAATCGCGTGAGTGTTTGTTGTTAAACACTAGTATGTTTATTATTATTTTAAAGTAGAATTGACGCAGTTTTGACATCGTAATTGCTTACAACCGTAAAAACATCATTGTAAATAATTATTGAAAACATAGGTGATACGCATACAGAAGTCACAAACAATAGATAACTGATTGCACCTGTGGTAAATTTATTATTAGCACAATATTTTTATACACAAACACATTTTACAGTGCGCTATAATTTAATATTTTCTTTAAGCATAGCAGTGCAGCATGTTGTTTTATACTATCAGCACAAGTTTATCAATATATGATCGTGAAATATTGTTCCAAATACCATTCATTAATTCACACACTTCAATCAAGTTGTTTGGCTGCCATTTACCATCTCAGTTTCCATACAAGTCCGTTCAGCCTTAATAACATTCATGTCGGGACGTGGTGCAGGCCAAGCCATAGTTGCGAGTGTTCCTTGGTTTCTTTTTCATTCCAGGCATACTTTTACTACATTTGCGGCATTACTGGGATCACAATCTTGATGGAAGATAAATCTCTGTCCAACAGGTTTTGTTTCTGACAGATAATAATATGTTTGTATCTTTCAGCAGTCAGGATGTTATCAATTTTGTGCAGATCTCAAACACCATTGACTGAGATATAGCTCATTCTTGTATTAGTCCCCTTACATATTTCTCTGTAAATATTATCTGTCGATCTTGATCCTCTCTGCCATCAAACAAACTCTCGATGATTGTTGGCAAACAATTAACATTTGGATTCATCTACAAAAATCACGATCATCCAGCTTTCCTCGTCCTTTTCAGCCTATTGGTATGGCTACCTCTCTTAAGCAATAGTTTTTGAATTGCTACACATTCACTGAGCCTAGTTAGTACTTTTGTGTATTTTATTATCCTAGAGATGATATTCACGCATGTTCCTATTGTATTGAAATATTGAATATCAAGCGAAGAAAGTAACCTAAACTACTTAACATCTCATCTGACGCGACCACTCAGTGCCAGTTTCACATATAGGAAAAATCAGATCAGATGATTCCCTTTCGTAAAACTGTAAACTATATGTAACTATTGTTCATCATAAATAAAATGTCGATCTGACGTGAATATGAATTGTCAAAGCTCAAATTCGGTCTTTTTTAAACAACCTTGATCTATCTTAAACACTTTGATCTTTTATGGTTACAAAGAAGATACTTCAGGGCAGTTCACTTTGTTGATTAAATACAATGAAGAATTATTGTTAGCCATATATGTTGTAAAATTAAACAGTTCAAGTTCGTCGGTGTTTTTATAACACATGATTGATTGTTTCACTATGGATGGCTTAGGTCATCTTAGTCCACGATAATGACCTACATTTTCGTCATAGGCTTGAGCCGCAATGTATGTCATTAGTTTATATCTTAGATAATGCGCAAATCGCGCATGGCGCACATCCCTCTTATTCCGTGGAGGGCGCATTTAAATGATGATTTAGATGAATTTGCTAAATGCAGTATTCATTTTCATTTACATCTGTTACGAGTTCAATGGTAGTCAATTTAACCCATTTTGAGGGGCCGTTTTATCCAGCCTTATACGAAAACGGCTCCAAAACACAAGAAATGCATCTTTTCAATATCTAAAGATAGGTCTATATGAAATTTTTGTTTTGGCAAAAAAAATGATATGTACTATAAAACATTAATCTTAACTGGTGAAAACGCATTGAAAATTAAGGCAACCATTCTACCTTTTCTCAATTTCCGATCCTGCCATCCACCTGGTACCAAACGTGGTATCATCAAGACACTAGACAAAAGTGGCAAATCCATGTGTGATAAAAACATGAAATCGTAACGACAATATATCATTAAAACTTCCAAAGACACAGTTACCGAATGTATTTAATCTTTTAGTCCTTGGAAGAGAAACAAACCAATAGAAATATCACAACAACAAAAATCATCACACTATTTACTTTCCTTGTATTCCGAACTTTGATGAGACGCTAAAACAAACTGTTCAAAATTTCAATGTTAACATCAGATGAAAATTTTGGGAAAACCCTTTGCTCGATTTTAACTCACTTTATAAAGAAACCATCTTTCTATCTCCACGGATGTATTATTTATGAAATCCTCTAATCTTGCATTGAATCCTACATTGGAAATACTGGTAGACACTTTGATGCCCGACTCAAAGAACACCGAAACTACACTAGATTCATGAAACCACAAAATACAGCTATTAGACAGATAATTCTGTACAAACGGGACAAAGGATAGACTAGAACAGCTACAAGATTCTTGACTAAAAGCAACACTGGTAATGAAAACAAAGAATCGTTATATATCAATATGAAATAAGCAAGCCTGAACAGAGATCTTGGAGTGATTGGTTTGGTTTGAATTTCACGCAAAGCTACACGAGGGCTACCTGCGCTAGCCGTCCCTAATTTAAAGCAGTGTAAGACTAGAGGGAAGGCAGCTAGTCATCACCACCCACCACCAACTCCTGGTCTACTATTTTTTTACCAACGGATATTGGGATTGGCCGTCACATTATAACGCCCCCGCGGCTGAAAGGGCGAGTATGTTTGGTGGGACGGGGATTCGAACCCGCGACCTGCTGATTGCGAGTCGAGCTCCCTAACCACCTGGCCACCTTGGAGTGAATTCAGCAATCTTTGGTTCCATCTTCTGAATGATATTTGACACAAACAAGGATTGAAATACTTTCTAGCTCTATCCGAGGTCCACGAGTCAACATTTTTCTCAGAGGTTCGCCTGGCCACCTCATATATTCGTACATGTACCCACTACCAATATCTGTTACATACGTAAATGTTACAAACCAATGACGGAGCTACAGTTAATAGAGGTACTAAATTCAAACGTCTGCCAGACACCTATTTGGGAGGAAGATAAAGACAATTCGTCAATTAGGTGATATGAAACACCAATGATCAACTACAGATTCAAACCAGAAAAGTAAGTTACCCGAAACGTCTCGATGAATCACCTTTCGTTACCACATGCTGTTACTACCCATATAGAAGCTACGCCATATATATGTATATATACACACACATAAATGTTGCGACTTGTTAAGACTTTTTTCTTTCAAACATTATTGAGGTTTATCATCTATAAAGAGTTTTTTTATTACAACTAAAACAATAGAAAAATAAATAAATGCCCTATATATGAAATGACAAATTTTATAACGAAAACTCCGTAGTATTTTAGTTTCTTGCACTAAGTGGTGAAGTTTCTTGCAAACTTTGGTTGCTAGGCATCATTATCAGTATATTGCATTTATGTATCACTAACGATTTTTTGTCTAGGTACCCGATAAAATATTTTACCCAGAGGGATCTTTTATAATAGCTTTATTGGATCGATTTAGACCAGAAAAGAATCGTAATAAAACTTTTATGTTTTCTTTATTATATTGCCATTTGAGTCAAGTGTAATGGAAAAGTACCTATACAATGTATGAAATGACATAAATCATTGGCATGATTATCAGAATGTTGCAATAGAAGATTTGTGAGTGTTTCCAATCATTATGTTATCTGCTTCTATTACAGATGACCCTACCAGCAAATCTTCCGGTCTGAGACTGATGGACCTCAGAATTTTGGTTCTTGAAATATTTGCAATATTTTGGTGTAGCCATCCGTTGACGCAGTCATTCTTTTAATATGTGAGTAATGAAAAGTGAGATTACTGTATATGATATAGGTGCCGAGTTTCCATAGTGTAATGTGTGTACATATATATGTCGTTATAGGGTCATTGTCATTCTAGTCAGTGAACTAGAAAAATAACAAGCTGTTGTAAGTATACAAATAAATTCCAGTTGAACAAAAGAAAGGAATGTTAACACTCATGAATCCAAAGTATTTTTATTATTTCTCCGAGACTGTTGGATCTTTAAACTAACGTTAGGTGCAAACTGACAAGAGAAATATAGAATTAAGTAGTTGAATTAAAACTTAACAATGATTATTTGCTCTAGAGTATTTATTTCAATTTTTCCCTAGGTGATGATTTTGACAAAATGTTAAGAGGTTTGCCATGACTTTTTAAATTATTACATTTTGTTTCCTTTTATATTTGTCGTTTTTATCGAATTAAAGTCAAAGCTTTATTATATCATAATTTCTTTATATATATTTTTGATCGCTTGAAGATTATTTACATAAAGTTGTTAATGAAGCTTAATAATTTAATATTAAGTTTGCTTACACAGTTTCCTTTCATTCACTTGCGAGTCTACTATGATCAAAAAATAACGTGTAGTATCAAATTAACATGCAATTTAAATTTCCAGAAAAAAACAGTTGGAACTTAGAAATTAAAACATAAAACAATAATTTTAATCTTCGCACACCAATTAAAGGTTTTCAATAGCAGTACCTCTTTACGTGTATATCTTATGGATTATCTTATAGATGTGTTACATTTTCTCTATAATGTATACCTCTTTCTACAATAAAGTGTTGTTTTCAAAGAATTTAATGATAATAGTTCTTATATTTTTCACCTTGTTACACAATAAAAACTTTTATTTCGGTCAGTTCATGTTTTTACGGCATTTTAAACTCATTTCGATGTTTCATTCAAAAAAAACAACAACTAACGATGACAGTTTACATAGGATCAGAATATTTTGAACTTGTCTAAAATAAACATCAAAGGAATAATTACACGTATAACCATTTATCTTTAGATATCTCAAGGCAAGTTTAAATATATTATATATATTTTTTACCATTATTTCATGTTTATTTGGATCGTTATAAATATCATGGCCTACAAGTGTTTTCAATCCCTAAGATGTTATAAATATCGTGGCCTACAAGTGTTTTCAATCCCTAAGATATGGAGGACTTACTTAAATTACAAAGAACAACTAAAGGATTAAAAAAAAAATCTGTTGGGAATGAGAAAATTTAATAAGATAAGGGATCAAGTAAATAAAGTCCTAACAATTTCAAATAGTCCACAATGATAGAAATCCGTGTAAGAAAAGTAATAATTTGTTAATGATTTTCTGGTCGTTATTATGAAAATAATACATTTAACTAAATATTATTGTACCAAAAAACTGCCCCCCCCCCAATGACTCAGCGGTGTGCCCGAGGGATTCTGATGCTAAAAATCGGTGGTCGATACCTGTAGTGGGTAACCACAGACAGAGAAACAAAAACTAAAAACTGAACTGTGATAAAAGTGCGTGTGATATGATAAGTTGTAGTCTAACTTCGCTGACATGTAAAGAAGGTTGAAAGGTTTTAAGATATGGACAAGCGCAACAATGAATACACTGTGATTAAGAAAGGTTACAGCTGTTATTATAGTGTAATAAATTGATTTAAGTGTTATCACCATATAGATGAAATGTTTATATTATAAGTGACAAGGTTTTCGTCCACGTCCCTAACGTACAACATACATGTAATATGTAGCTTATATAGTAATTTCACTATCCACTGACAATCAAGTTTCACAAGAAATTAATATGATGCTTTATTAAAGATAATTTGATGTTCGGATTATTTCAACAGATGTTAGACATCTTTAGCGTTCACGTTTTTCATTACTGCACGAAGTTTAGTGAAATCCATCATATACCACTTGAGGCATGTAGACTGCATACGTATAAACACTGATTGATGGATATATAGCGCTTTAAAGTGAGTCTGGATCTGACAGGGTTAATAAAAAGGAAGCTAATTTGTGACTCCAGCAGTTCACTTAAATCTAGTTGAATAAATAAAGCAGTGGATATTAAGAGTTTAGAAATTACCTTTTCTTTTTCGCTCACTAAATTCTATTGCTCAAACATTGCAGATTTAAACAAAAAATCTTGCTATTTCATTTATAAGTAATCGCATACGGTTGACGTGGTTTAAGTTTGTTTTACTTCTCCACCCCACTCGTCCCTTGGTAGCTCAGCGATAAATATGTAGGCTTATAATTTCATTTATAAGTAATCGCATACGGTTGACGTGGTTTAAGTTTGTTTTACTTCTCCACCTCCCTCGTCCCTTGGTAGCTCTGCGACAAATATGTAGGCTTATAACGCTAAAAATTTAGTTTCAATACGCACTCTGTTCAGAGCACAGGTAACTCATTGAGTAGCTTTGTTCTTAACACAAAACACAAACAAACTTCCCTCCCTCAACACGCGTTAGATTCCTATGCGTAATCTCCTAAAAACAGTGAACTAATCTGCTAAATAAACTCAGCTTACTAAAGGCTATATGGTTTTTATCCCTAAAAGAAAGATAATGCTTGTTTTATAAACAATATAAAATATAATAAAACATCCTCTTGTAAATGTCTATACATATCGTTGTACTGCTACTCGTAAATGGACAACATTACAAGTAACAGATGACATCGAGATCTAAGATTTTAATCTAATAATTTAGAATGTCTTATTAAACTGATATTTTCTCTACTTTACATTTACTTTTTGAAAGTGATTTCCCCGAATAGAGGGCTGAAGGCCGCCTGAAGAGGTCATCTATTTTAACCACTCGCACCAATATACAGTAGTGTGTTGTCTGTCAGTCAGTCAGTCAGTTCACATAAGGGACGCTTAACGTTACAGTTTGTACTGTTGTGACGTCAGTAAAACGTGCGCATTCCATGAATCACGAGAAGAATTATGCACTCTGTTGGCTACAACACAGCATGACATATTAACTTCCAATGCAAGAAATAAAAGTATTTGTTACTCTTAATCTAGTATATATATATATATATCACACAGAGATATTCACGCTGAATACCTTTTATATGATATTGTGGACATGTTTCTCAATTTGGTCACATGATTAAATAATTATATCTTTGACACCTATATTTCACAGAGTCATATAAATATACAGTATTTTGTCAGTATCAAGCTTAAGTTTTCGTTTCAAGCTCAAACGCCACCAAAGCTCCAATGTTTGGAATTTAAATCACAGGAAACTGTGAACGACACCGTGTGCATTCGCTATAATCTATAAACTCACAGACGAGTTAAAACCGTTAGTTACGAATAAAAACAATGTGCAACTATGTATTGACGAGAATAAGCAAGCGCGATGCCGACTACAGTCATTTCATATTCCATGATTGAGCTATTTCGAAAGGTGATGAACAACATAACGCAAATCTGTCATTAGAACATCTAACGAATACGTTAAACCATGCTAGGTTCACCATAATTCCAAGAAACTAGGCGTCAAGCAATCTTATTAACATATCGATTTAATGAACAAATGACAGGGCTTAAAGTCGATAAGCAGACGCAGAACAAATATTTTACACAACTACAAAAACCTCTTCACGAGATGCATAAATATAGATGTAAAGTTTAAAAACGCATATTTTTGAAGAAAAATATAAATTCACAACTGCGGCAGACAACACCAAGAATAAATGTGAAAACATAGTTTCTCAGTTCCAAAAATGGAATTAGGGCATTAACGTTTGTTTGTAGTTAAACACAAAGCTACACAATGGGTTATACGTGCTCTGCCCACCAAGGGTATCGAAAAAAAGTTTCTAGTGTCGTAAGTCCGTATACATACCACTGTGCCACTTAGGGGCTTAGGGCATTAAACACTTGAACCAAACGGCATTACGAAGGCGTAAGTTTGTTTGTTTGTTTTGAATTTCGCGCAAAGCTACACGAGGGCTATCTGCGCTAGCCGTCCCTA